CGTGATTCTGCAAAAAGTAAACCACTGTGCGAAGCGTTGTCTAAGAAAGTTTCCCAAGGAACATCTATAAATAAAACTGGCCTTCAAGATTTCCATAAAATGAAAAGACATGAGTTGATGTATGTGGTGAAGGATAAATTGTGAACGTGTGTTCTGGTTTCAGCTGGGATAGAGTTAATATTCTTCATAGTAGCTAGCATAGTGCTGTGTTTTGGATTTAGTACTACAAGAATGTTGGTAACACACTGATGTTGTTAGTTGTTGCTAAGTAGTGCTTAGACTGGCCAAGGACTTCTTGAGCTTCTCCTGCTCAGCCAGGTGCATAACAAGCTGGGAGGGAGCACAGCCAGGACAGCTAACCCAAACTGACCAAAGGGCTATTCCATACCATAGAACGTCATGCTAGGGGGAGTTGTTGGTTGGACAGAGGGAAGAGTGATCACTGCTCGGGATGGGCTGGGCATCGGCTGGTGGGTGGTGAGCAATTGCGTTGTGCATCATTCATTTTGTATATTCTGTATATTCTATTACCATTCTCATTATTACTATTATTATTCTTTTCTCTTATTTAACTGTCTCTATCTCAGCCCATGGCTCCTACTTTTTTTTTTCTTCCTGATTCTCTCCCCATCCCACTGAGGGAAGGAGGAGTGAGTGAGCAGCTGTGTGGTGCTGAGTTGCCAGCTGGGTTAAACCACGACAACGTGCTACATCTTTTATTGAAATAAAGCAAAACACATTTATCTGTTGATTCAAATAAGGGAAAACACCTTCAGGTTTTTCAGCATTCAGTTCAAATTAAATTGCTGTAAGTTACTAAAAAAGGAGGGGGTTACAACTGGAGGTAGAAATCAGCTTGGGCTGCAAATTGGAACACCCGCAGAAGCCATAGTAGGAATGCATCACGTTCCTGTGACCCAACCTGTAATAAGATCACTGTGGTCCAAAGCAGCTCTGGACTATTTGCTGGTCTAATTTATTTTTGTTCATCCACAAGCCTTCTGCAACCAAAACAAGTAATTATAAAAGCAGTCTTCTGCTTACGCCTCTAAGACTGACCTTTGGTAGGCGAAGACGATGCAGGTTTATCTTCAGCCTTTAATATTCTTCAGAAGCTGGAATGCTTATTTTCCAATCAACAATTAAAAATAAATGAATTTATCCAAGTACTCCAAGAGTCAGAAAGCCTTAGCAGAAGGAAAATCTACACTCTACAAACAAATCTCTCCTTTCACCTGGCTTGTTTAGCACATCAGCATCCGTGGCACTTAAACCCCCTTCGGTCAAAATGCAAAACTGCCTTTACCCACCAGGAGAGATACTGAAGAAAAATTGCCAGGAGCAAGAAGGTCAGCTACGACAGCGCTAGCATGCTATAATAAACATTTTTAAAGGCAAACGGGCAAATCTAGACATGTTTTCTGTTTGGGTGAAAGCAAGGGAAAATGTCACCAATTCATGGGCTGGTGAGTGACATATCTTCAAGGACAATTTCTGTCTGATGTCTAAGAACAGACAGAAAGCTGAAGTCATACGTTGAAACCTGCACCATTACCCAGCTGCGGCAATGGTATACAGTACGTGATTATAGATCTACCTATTTTTCTAGGCCTAAACAGCATGACTAACTGCTTGTAAGATGGATTTTACAGTGTACATCTTTTATATTTCAATTTAATCAAGTTGTCTATTCTGTTCATTTCTCAAATTTGGACTCTAGTATCATTAAAAGAAAAAACAAACAAAAACTCCTGTAAGCAAATGCTGCATTTTACCTTAAAGAGCTGCCATTTTTGAACATACACAGATAATATGCATCTTGAAACCCCCCCAACCATGTGATTCAGTATGTAACTTAAATGACTTAACATGGTATCTCAGAGGTTCCTCTTCCCCATTAGCCCTTACACCTCCACTACTTTCCTTCTTTCCCCAGGAGCACCTCAAACATCTCCTCTTTCCACCTCAATAATCCCCTTGCCTGATTCCCCCTACTTCTGTGGCACTCAGCAGAAGTCATTTCATATATCAATACCATTTCCATGAGGAAAACTAAAGGAATTGTGCATAATATATGAGAAAAGACATCTTCTATTGCAGTATTTTCAACTGAATCGATGTTTTAGTAAGTCATTTGAAGGAACAAAAATGACATGAACAGCTTTTACTCCGTTTTAAAAAGTTAGTTAAGATCATAGTTTGCAATCATAAACTCCAGTGTTTTCAAAAAAATCAGTGTGGATTTAGAACTTCCGAAGCTACTGCAGACCATTAAGAACTGCCTAAGTGCTTATATACAGGCTATAGCAATTTAAATCTTCTTTAAGGAAATTTGCTTCAAATGATACAAATCTCTTTTAGGGAGCCAATCTGTTATGTGGCCAGTTATACAAGTTTTGCGTATGTCACATGGAAGCCATATCTAAACTAGGTACCACACATGGGTTTGACTTGCTGTCTGCTTTAAAAATAATTGCTTCAACAAAGCCATTGCAAATTTGCATTAGAATGAGGCTAAGAACAATTCAATACTAGAATAGCATATTATTCATAGAATCATAGAATCGTTTAGGCTGGAAAAGACCTTTAAGATCATCAAGTCCAATGGTAAGCCATCCCACCACTAAACCATGTCCCTAAGCACCTCATCTACCCATCTTTTAAATAACTTCAGGGATGGGGACTCGACCACATCCCCGGGCAGCCCATTCCAATGCTTGACAACCCTTTTGGTGAAGAAATACTTCCTAATGTCCAACCTAAACCTGTCCTGGTGCAACTTGAGGCCATTTCCTCTTGTCCTATCACTTGTGCCTTGGGAGAAGAGGCCGACCCCCACCTCACTCCCCCCTCCTGTCAGGCAGTTGTAGAGGGCGATCAGGTCTCCCCTCAGCCTCCTCTTCTCCAGGCTGAACAACCCCAGTTCCCTCAGCCGCTGCCCATCAGACTTGTGCTCCAGACCCCTCACCAGCTTGGTTGCCCTCCTCTGGACATGCTTCAGCAACGCAACATCTTTCTTGTAGTGAGGGGCCCAAAACTGAACACAGTATTCAAGGTGCGGCCTCACCAGCACCGAGTACAGGGGCACGATCACTGCCCTGCTCCTGCTGGCCACACTATTGCTGATACAAGCCAGGATGCTGTTGGCCTTCTTGGCCACCTGGGCACACTGCTGGCTCATATTCAGCTGGCTGTCAACCAGCACCCCCAGGTCCTTTTCTGCAGGGCAGCTTTCCAGCCACTCTTCCCCAAGCCTGTAGCGCTGCATGGGGTTGTTGTGACCCAAGTGCAGGACCCGGCATTTGGCCTTGTTGAACCTCATACTCATTACTATACCCAACATCAAATCTATACTGTTTTAAGAGCAGGGCTCTGAAACTCAAAGAATTCCCCCTTCCATATAATTGCCTTGACCAGAAAGCTACAAAATCTTACTCTGTTGGTGGCTTGGGTTTGGTTTTTTTTTTCCTTTGGTTGTGGGTTTTTTCATTCTGAATTTTAATTCTTAAATGAGAAGTATTCTGCTGGATTGTGGAAAGATGAAGATTGCTGAGAAAATATAAAATGAGAGCTACAAATTGCAGTACAAGTGTTCTAAACACTAAAAGCCACCATGACCAGCAGCATGTCAGTGTGGGCGCCTAACTACTCCTGACACAAGGGAACAGGCACAGAAATTATCAATGTCACTCCAAATCTCAGAATCACCGAACTTGTACATAATATATGTAAACGAAGAACAACCTTATGGTCAACAGACTACGACTGAAGTTCAGGTATGTTTAAACGCAAGTGCTGATGTTAATCAGAACATAAAAAGCCTGTTGGAAGCTTTATTAAATGTCACTAGATTTCAGTTAAAGCTGAAGGTTTTTTTCTTCTCTACAAGAAAATATTTCTATTATAATCCTGTGGTAGAAAACCAAAATACTTCGAGAGAAATGAATCTGAAGCTCTAATTTGTTACAATTTGTAGAGAGCCCAAGGCATCTAATCTTCCCAGAAATCTAAATACTAAATGCAAATATTAAATTCTGCCTTTTTTTGGCCACAGACTTTTAGTGAGTGACTTTGCGTGAAGGACTGACATGCAATATGAATTTCTGAATAATTTCAAAAGGACAGATTAATGTTTTGACAAGATTTTATTGTGAAACATTGGATTTAGAAAAGGTACAAAATGTCAACGTTCAGATGTGTGCCAGTACAGTATTTCAATCGTCTATACATGTGGACAGCTGAACAGCTTCACTGCAGAACACGTATTTAGACATACTATCTAGAAGGGGGCCGCAATATTCACAGGCTTAAAATACATAAATAACTTGAGCCAAAAAGGCCATTACTGGTCAATGCTAATCAACATCTGGAAACAGGCTAAAAAGCACAATACAGTACAACAACCTCCTCGCAGATCCACGTTTAAAGAACATCAGTTTATTATGTTGATAATCTACAGCTCCAGGACACTATTTTCAGGACTGGGATTCAGTTGGCTAGTTTACAATTTTAAAAAATTAAAATGTTAAAAATGAGGTTATAGAAGAAGAGCCGCAGGTTTTACGTAGAACTAAAGACTGTGAAGACCCTAAAATTTTTTTCAGACTGGGACTTATAAAGTCAATTACTTCTAATATAGAACTTCAGTTTGTTCCTTTAAAATGTCCTTACTGCAGCTTGGACAGATATCATTAAGTGATTCAAATATCAATATCATTAAGTAATTCAAATATTTCAATTTACTATGCATTTCTGTTTTCAAACCAATTTCAACAAACACAGGTCACGATTCAACTGGAAAAAAAAAACATTATCAAAATACTAACTCTGAATTAACAAAAGTCATAAATTTGTATATTAAAAAAAATAGTAACAACCCCAAAGGGTAGCAGCGTTCTCTACCCCAGTTTAACAAGTTTAAAGAAGAGCATTTATAAACATACAAAGTTGATTTTAGGGTATAAAAATACACGTATACCATACGAAACAAGATAGCCTGATTTTTTCAAGTTATTCACTAGTCTGTCACTGCTGGAACTTGTTTGCGCTACCGAAAAGGTGTTCATAGCTCAGTACATGGGCAGACAGCCAAGGAACTTTAGATTTTAGTTCTTCAATTAAAAGATGTGTAGCTTATTCTACACAGTTGAGCTTACTGAAACATAGGCAGCTACCCAGTCACCAGTCAGTACTCACAGCTGAACTAAACCTTTACTTACGTAAGTCTACTTCACTTTATGACGATCGTAACTCGCCTTCCTGAACCTTGGGGTATACTAAATTATGTTTAATAGAAATTTCTGAATGTGACTGATGTCCATTAGGAGCAGAGCTAAACCTAAACTGATGTAATTTAGAATCAAAATCTACCCAAAACATTAAAACAACCCACCCTTTAATGACACCACATCCACTCCCTTAATTCATTTCAAGACCATTAGTTTTGGCTACTCTTTTCTCATTGTGTCTCTTTACTGGGGGATGAGAATCTTGCAATTCATGAAGAAGAATCACCAGAACAAAGTACATCAAATCAGACAACGGAAAATAAATTTTTTTTAGAACTTCGGGTTTGTATCACTAACGATGTAACGTTGGGAGTACAATGTCTGCTATGGAATTGAAATTAGCGCTGTGCCAAATGGGAAAAATATATAAACAAACCACTAAACTCCAGTGTGGCAAAAACCATCTTTTGTTCAGGAAGTGTGAGCAGCACTAACAAAATTCTACACCTCACAGACACAAGCTACAAAGGTTACCTAAAGCCAATAGTCACTGTCCATCGATTAGCTAGCTCTTAATGCTGCTTCAAGCACTGCACCAGCCACTTTGATCTTTGTTTCAGATTCCTCTGTACACACATTTATATTTACATAAAACATTTATTAAACATGATTTTAAAACATAAAAACCTTATGTACAAAATACCATCATTCCTATAAATAAACAGTTGGAGAAAGGCACTTGCAAGAAAAATCTACAGTAAATCTTACAAAAACCACACTGCCTCTGTTACTGTACAATAGAGAATCTTTCGGTAAATCCCTATCACAAGAATGTAAAACACTAATTACTTGTTTTAACTAAGAATATAACCGTTACAGTTGTATTTACACATACATATATGCCTTTTTTTTTTTTTAGTTTCACTTGAGAGCACCATGATTTTCATTCTAAATTATATTTTAATACAAATTAAAAGAACAGTTGCCAGAAACCAGTGTTCAGCGTCACTGCAGATTCATAAACTTTTGGCTGACATCAGTGTAGTTTAAAAGACTCAGTTGCTGCTTTGTAAAAAGTACACCTAGTTTGTTATTGCATGTTGTCCTTTTAGAGAGAGCACTGCTATGCTCTCTATGCAATTGTTTAATACTATTGCTGGCAAAGTTTCCAATATCAAAAAAATAAAAACATTCTTCAAACCAGTTGAAGTATTTCATCTGAACAGTAACTAAAAAAAGCTGCATATTAATTATAAAAACGTGTAGGAAACATGCCAACTAATCTGGTGTGCAAAAATATTTTTTCCACTACACAGGATTTTAAGGGCTTCCCAGAATTACTCAAATTTCTATTGAGTAGCAAACCCCACGAATAACCAGTTCCTCAAGGAGATGTCAGTATGCTCCCACTTTTATCAAACTTTTTACCCTTTGACAGCGCTGCAACCTGTTTGAGCAGTTCTCTGTTTTTGGCCTGCAATGGAGATAAACATTTTATCAATTACTGAAACATCTCAGATAGCAGTGTCATGCACTGATTTCCCATTGCATTTATGAAAAATTTTCAAAACTTACATGCTGAGAATATTCAAGTATTATAATGATCACTTTTCAAAGATTTGTATATGCTTTCTGATACGCATATTCCATCTTTAACAGAAAAGGTAATCACGCTTCCCATATTGCAAAATGTAGTATCTGAGGTATTGCACCAAGTATCTGTTCAGTCTGTGATTTGTAAGGCAACTAATTCAGGCTTTCTTCCTGATAAAGTAGGCTTAAACAAGAGACATTTAACTGTCAATTGTGTTAATGCTGAGCCCTTAAACCAGATCAACAGCACACCGACAACTGATTAAATCAGACAACAAACACAAAAAATAACCTTTGAGAAAGCACATGAGATAAGCCTCTATCTCTTAAATTTAGAAAGCAATTCTTACAGTGAGTTTAATTCATATGGAGATTGTCTGTTGACTACAGAACTGCTGTACAATGCATCCAAAGTTAAACGTGGTCATGACCATTCAAGAACTTGGTACTATTCAATCGCTGTGAGTGAACAGCCTGAATACATGATTCCACCTGCAGTATTTCTCAATTACTGATAAGCAATTACTCACCTGCAACTGTTCCACAGTTTCCTTGTGAGCCTTCTCCATACTGTTCATCTTTGTCCTCAAGTTAGACTCCTGGTACTGGAAGTCTGCCTTCAGTTCTGTCAACTGAAAACACAAATTCTATGACTATTTCTTGGACTGTTACATTATACATCTTCTAATCAATCTGTGCAATCTTTCGGGAAGCCTCAGGAATCTCAGAGAACACTGTATTTATTTACTATTGTAGCATTGACAGCTCAGCACTTGAGAAGTAGCTTGAAAAGTAAGTATGTCTTTTATATGGAGAAAAACAACTGTACTTATATAACCATATCGTTTGTTCAGGATTTGGTATAAAGAAGGTTAATCCTCAAGAAAAAAAAATTCAAATACAAGACTAGTGATTTATAATCTTAGCTGTTCTTTCAGCTGTGAGATACTTATCACAACCCTCAGTGACATCTCTTCAGTTATACAGTATGATAACACATGAAAAATCTTCCACACAAAGACAACAGAAAGGATTCCTTCGTGTCCTTTTATGCTACAATTTGTCCTATACAGAAGTATATGTTCCAGAGTTTCACTCCTTCTTGATCCACAACAATAGGGAATTAAACTGTGCTATTAGAAATGTGTAATTAAAATTACTTAACTTAGAATTAAATTCTGAGTGTATGGTATTGCTGCCACTGGGTCTCTCCTGAGACAGGCAGAGATCCAGATGACATACGCTAAGGTAGGTGTTTCTAAATTGAAATATATGCTTCTATCCAAGCAGCTGAATGCTTCTTCTGGAAGCATGTGCAGCTGGGTGAACTGCTAACAGTTTGTTGTAAATGGACCCACAAGTTTTAGGAACCACTTATTTAAAAACTTTAGTTCCTCAAAGCATCCCAGGTCCACCTGGCTATTTTGAACCTCTCTGCTCAATTTGGATTTATCAGGAAATGAAGCCTCTTTGCTAGTAAAGAAGTCCGTTATAATAAACAAGGGCATACATTCCTAAAATGACTACCAAGACTGCTGTTACCAACCCTAGGATGTGTCAAATCACATGTAGTGAAACAAGGTATTCACATGGCCTGTCAATCAAACGGTCCTAAATAAAGTGCAGGTATCTTGATACAAGGATATATACCGCACTGTACACAGACTGCTGCTCAAGGTATGTACTTAAGGCTGTTGTAAGTTCCAGGAGATCCAATACAAAACCACATACCACAAACTAAGTATCAAAAAAACCCTGGTAGTATTGCACCATAGTAAAGTATGCAACTAGATGAGCAAACACAGCACCTGTGAACATTCAGCAAATTGTGGTCCCTTCCTAACAATCAAGTCTCATGGTAATGTCTTGGTGTCTCACTCACATTTTGTCCAGAAAGTGAAACAAGGCTAGAACTGCCAACAATAAGCACTGGTAATGATGTGGCTGAGATCCTGACTCATAACAAAAAATGATGAATGAGGATTGCCTGTAAAGCTGGTGTACCAGGTTGTTTTTGTTGCCGATGGTACACATTTCAGAGGTTCTTCTTTTGGAGCTCTCCAAACTGTTCAACTGCTGTCCCTACACAAATCTCGGGACAAGATCTTAACAGGAATCTCCCACAGGTCTGGCTCAAGCTCTTATCCCAGTACACGTCTTTTCATTTACTATCTCACAGTCAAAAAAAAAAAAAATCTGCATTGCATTCCTTTGTAGTAAATTTTTCAGCCACGCAAACATTGCACAACGAGTTCAGCTTTTCTCTCCCAACCTGCAGCAGCTGAAGAAACTAAGTGACATTCTGGAAGTGAGAAATTCATGCCTGAAGGAGTCTTAAGTTCTAAGAACTCTAAGGTCAAATAAATAGTTTTAGCAGTAAGGATATTAAAACTATTACAGGCTCTCCTTATGGAAACAGCACAAAACAAGTTACTGTGGTGGTTACGCAGACGTAGGTGACATTTCCTTACCTAACCCTTTTGCTAGCTTTGCCCAGTAGATCAAATATAAAAAGAGAGAAGTGAATTTGCTACTGACTCATGATCTTCTACTGGCTTTGTAAGACAGAGATCAGGGCCTTAATGCCTGTCCTTTGAAGAAAGTAACTAAAGAGAATCCATGACAGACTGTTCAGCTCTTTCACATCAACCTCTTAAAGACCTGAAATAGCGAGTACTTCCAACACCAGGTACATTATAACAGCAATATAAACAGAAAAAGGTTCAATATCCCTTACAAAACACATTTAAGTATAAAAATGAAGATACTGAACTACGGTTTAAAAGTAGAATCATTTTCTTTCCAGGATCAATGAGCCTTTCTTAACCATCAATGTTTTAATATGCCACCATGCATCTATAATCAAAATTTTACTTGAAAATATAGTGAATTTACTTTTAATACAATTCCACAACCTATTCAATCCTGAACAGACACTTCAGAGCCACCGTTACAGAGTGTCTTAAAAGCATCTAGTTGATGCTTAAAAGCATCAGATAGCCGAGAAATAAGCTCTAATAAAGGCAGAGCAAAGTACATATTTGTAGTTATTTCTCTTTTCTTGTTAGTCATTAGGTTGTTTGAAGGGTGAATCTCTTGCATGAGTTTCACTGCAGCCATTTGGGCCTGACTATTCCACTTAACTTTTGCTGACTGCCAGGCATCTAATCCAAGCTTTTCTTCTAGTCTCTGACCGCCCACAAAGACTTGATAACCTACACTACACATATGCTACCAACCTTTTAAAGTCAAACCACTTAATCTACACACACTGTACATGTAAATTTGTACACCAACCCATTAATTGTGGCTATAGTTGCTTTAGTTTAAAACTAAACAAAAACTACGCTAAACTCAGAACGGTTACTATTCTTAATCCTCCTCTTATCTTGTATGCCCATCAGCCTATGTAGGTAGCCGTGATCTTTGCTGTGACTCAGTTTAGAATATGTAAAACATACAATCCACTGTGGCATTTTATCCATCACTTGTGGCACACAGCCTGAGTAACAGTGAACCAGATGGCTAGCTTCTAGATGGCTGAAGCGAGGTAAGATGAATTCCTCTTTGACTTAGAGCCAAAGTGTAAATATGATACAAAAGTCCCAAACTTGTCCTTTAAATGGTGAGATCTGATTAGTTGCTATACAAAAAAAAAAAAAAAAAAAAAAAAAATCTGATTTTTGTTTTATCTTGCCATTTTGACTTTGATGGAGCCTACAAAATAGAAAACAAAATAAAGTTCTTATTAAGCAGGTGCAATTTTACCTTTTTGTCTTTTTCTAAAATAGTCTGATCTCTTTGCTGCAGGAGACGTTTAAGTGACATTACTTCTTCTTTCAGCTGACTTATGAGGACAAAGTTGTCAGTTCCTCCACTGTCTGCTGACTGATTTATAGAGCTACTAAAAATAAAAAACAATAGTCACTTACGACATCAATAGAAAAAAACAGTACATTTTTTTAAATTTCAAATTGGATAATTAATAATTCCACAAACTTCCTTAAGAACTAATGCAAAAAAAGTATGTACCTGACAGAAATGGATGCAACTGGCAAATTACCTTACTAATGGCACACATTACATACACCTGCAGAAATATAATTAAGTATTAGCTTTGAGGGGGACAAATACCTTTTGACTGAAGAAGCCACTTGTACTTTTATTCCGACTGTTTGGCCAGAGACTGAATAAAGATTCAGTCTCACACATTAAGGTCCAAGAGACTTCTCTAGATACTACTAGGTCATCTTAAAGCAGCAGGTTCAACCCTGCATCTAATCAACAAAACACTGATGTCAGGAAATAATGTTTCATTGGTGCCTTGTATGTAAGCTTTATTTAATTTTGCCCCAAACAGCTTAAAAGCAGGGAAACAGCACCAATTTTCTACTAATAAAGTAATTTAGTTGACTGACAGCACTCAGATGCCACCCAAAATCTGTCTGTTTCAACAATAGCTTCACCTCCCTCATTCTTCAGACCAAAGAAAAAAAAAAATAAGAGAAGCAACTGGCCACAAATCAGTGCTCTATTTGGTTGAAATGGCTCAGCTTTACAAAAATGTAACTTTACCTATCTCCATTTGATGGCTTGGATTCCAGTTTGGGTTTTTTCTTTGGAGTTTCATTCTGAATAGCTGCAGAGGATTTATGGCTGAAATCAAACAAAATGTAAACCTAAAGCCTCATACTATATGACTCTCTAATATCACCATTTGGTACATGTAAAATAGCTAACTCATGCTCCTAGCTGGAATGCTAGACACTAGCCAGAAATGCAAGAAAAGAAGTCCTTTAAATGAAAACTGCAAGATGAATTAAAAGGAAATTAATAAATAATATCATATTTACCTCTGTTTCCATAGTCCCTGATCTTGTTCTGGACTCAGACTGCTGATTCTGAAATACGTGAAACGTACTTGGTAACTGACCAAACATGCCATCATTTCTAAGTTTATGCGAATGGTATCTGTACTTGAGAGAAATCCACCCCTCCACCCCCTTTTTGTTAATAAAGAAGGTTAACAATTACGAATTTTCAGCTGGACAGTTGTATCATCCATCACATTTGTGATCGTTCTTTACTGTGTCAAGATGCTATGAAAACATTTCTTGGCTAAATGATTATTAATGTAAGACACAAGGGGCAGACTTCAAGATCGATGGCTAAACCTTTTTGCTGGTACCTCCCAATTTTTGTGAACTTTATATGGCTCATCTTGTATTCAGCAAGCTGGTCTAAAGCAGCATCCCCAGGATTCCCATACTGCCATATGAACATCATCTGAAGTGGTCCTTATGCAGTGGTGTAAGAGCAAAGTTCAGGTTTGGATCCTTGAAAATAGCTGCTTCTCAGGCCTAAACATTTGTTTTCAGTAATTTCAAAAGCAACTAATAAACACCACTGATATAGGAATGGTAGAATGTGGAAGATTGCACTGAATGAATCTGTATTTCTACATCACTGTCTCATCTTAATCGTAACTGAAATGGACAGGGAAAAAGTCGTATTTATTGGACCAGAAGCAATGGACCCATGGCAGCCTACAGAAAAAAGGTGCCAAAGCAGGAACATTATGATCTGTATAGAGATACGCTTACTTGTATAACTCTTAGATTAGAAGCTCTGTTCTGTAGCAGAGAGCTAACTTCTTTTCATTTAATCCTTACTACATCTCTTCCACATGCATTAAATTAGATTTCGCTTGTTGTAACTTGATTTTCAGCAGACATTTGAGAGAACAGGAACAGTCCGATGACTCTCTGCGTGACAAGAATAATTTTCTTCAAATTCCCAAAGAAACCCAAATCATCTTCTTTTTAAGTGAAAGTCTGTATGGAGTATTCTCCTCATTCCCAATATCATTCCACCTTATTTTGCTTCTAGCTTTAAGTCACGCTTAGTCAGGCAAGTTTCAGTCAAAAGGGAAAATTATAAGGACTGGAAAATCGAAGCTTAGAATGAAAGCGTTTGTGTGTCTGGGGTCAGGGTCATTACCGTTGCAGCATTATCCAACACAAAAATAAAGATAATGTAAGTAGTTCTAAAGTTACACTGCCATAAGCCTACCGATGAAAATAAGACATGACTACTATTATACTAGAATAAAAAAAAAAAAAAACCACAAAAAACCAAATCAGTCCCAGGACTTGTAACTAGATAAACTAGTAGGTCCATTGAAGTGGGTATGTTGCTTATCCCATGGCCAGAGCTGGCACGCTGAGAAAAGTTGCAGAAGATAGGTCCAGTCCCTGTGAAATGTTATCAGACTGCCAGTAACTGAACTGACGGTGTTATTTTCCTATGTCTGTATGACAGCCACTCACAAACTGCATATTCCAGCAGGATTTGAACATAAAAACTAGCAGAGATACACAAACTGGTCCTATACTGAGAGTGATCCCACACTGTTGCTTCTGCTTCTCCATTTAACTCCAAGTGTGTGTACACAAACAGGTCAGGATGAAGCACGTTAGGGTGAGGATTCTGAGCGAAGTAGCTGTTCTGTGCTCGCTGCTAACACACACCTTTTATCCCGTGGTAAATGCATGTAAAAGCAGTTATCGCCCAGCAGTTACTGCTTAGAAAGCCAAATTCAAGTTTTTCCCTAAGTAACTTGCTCTGGAGCCACTCTGTGGGTTTCCTTCCTAGGCTTGCTACCAATTTTAGCATCAACTAGTTTGATGATCGCCAAGAATTTCTGCTATTTGCTGACCTACCCTCATCCAAACTGTAAGAATACAAGGATTTTGACAGACCATGGAAGAACAACATGCTGCTACTGCTTTTAATGCAGTATTTTAAACAGCATTTCTTTATTTCCTTTGATTTGATCTCAGTACTAACAGATCACAGAAGAGAAAAAGGTACCAACAGCTACTTAAATTTTTGACATACTTACTTATGATGACTGCTGCTGTGACGATGATGATGGTGGTGATGGTGGTGGTGTTTTGAATGATGCTGATCTTTCTCCGTAAGAGATGAAGATGAGGAGTTAGAATGTGAAGATCCTAGGCTCTTCCTCTGTTCTTTTGTCTTCTGTAGCACTCTCTTGTAGGACAGCGTGCAGAGCCAACACAACAACTTCCCATCAACCTTTTGGGAAATAATTGAGAGCAGTGTTTTTTTCCAAGTCTACTTGCATTAAAAAGACATACTTCAATATTTGCAAGAAAAATCTGTTTCACTTCATCTGTTATCTTTGGGAAGAATCCAGACAACTCTTTGGTATGAAACAGCACTACCACATCTCTAACGTATGTACGTTATCTTTCAGTAAAGTGAATCTTATTCCACCTCTTTTTGTCATTTAAAGTTAAGCTAGAAAGCGGTCTTAGCAAACGTTGGACTCTCTCCATATCACAGAAGGGACAACTTTTTAAAAGGACAAATTGTTTTAGTTTAGACACGATGTACCCTCTCTTAACCCCTCGTATTCCAGGCAGAATCAAGGTGTCCAGCCAATGTGTTACTTGTACCAAGTAAGTTCTTCTGTAAAAACAGCATTATTCTTGGGTTCAGGCAAGAGGCTTTTGAGGTCATTTCCTCAGCACCTTCTGGAATGAGAAAGTGGCACTCACCAAAGCTATTTAAGAAAACAGAACACAAAGGGCTGTTCAGAGCAGTCTACCTCTCTGGTGCTGTGCTTTAAGGCAAGGCAGGCAAATTAGAAGAGGTAAAGTGACAGATTCAAGTTACAGACATACATAAGCTCCAACAGATGGCAAAATAAAAATTAAAAAAAAATAAAAACCAAAGCACCAGGAGCTGTTCAGCTGCTTCATCTCTGTTCTCCAGCTATGACTGCTTACGCCCAAACTTATTTTTTTAAAAGAGTGATTTAATTTAAAGTAAGTTAGATCAGTAGCTGGCGTAACGATTGCAAGTTGTGAAATCCAATTCAAATATTGTAAAGCACAACAATTTTATTATTACTGAACTTAAGACACATTCTTGTTAATCTTATGAAGGAGGAACCTTGCCTGTTGCCAGCCTAAGCCATTACAGCTGTGAAACAAAGCCTGCCTACCTTCCTTCTTCCCTCCTCTTTTCGATCAAAAGCACACTGCTGTTTGCACTGTTCACACGTCTGAGGTGGGCCGTACTTCTTCTCCGAGTTGGTGCAACGCTGACATTTTGTGCCAATAAACGCTGCAATAATGTTACAATACTGACAAGGCTTGGGCTGAAAAACAGGTAAGTTCAACCGAAGTTAGTACGTTTACAGTTTCTGTAATGCACGCAGGATTTCAAATCACACTGATGCTTCTAGACTGCTAGGGTTTCATATAACCTATCTTAAAGAACCTTTTTCCTACCATTTCTATCTTCAGTACTAAACTTGCCCCCTAAAATAATGCCCCTTCAATGGCCAAAACCAGCCTGGACTTTTCATGGAAACTCAGGTAAAAGAAACACGTACAACATGACACAAATGCAGAGGTGTCTGAAACACCCTCTACCCCTGCCTCTCTATTTTTATTTTTTTTTTTAAATATGATGACATTTTCCCTCTGTTTCACTACATGACTAAAGAAATTACTTTAAAAAAACTTTAGAAGAGTAATCAAGTAATTTTTTTTAGAGTGGAAGTTTCTGAAGACACCCCTCTCTCCCTCACACTACTTGGGGATTTGATAACCCTACAGCTCCAAGATGAGTATCCTGATCCCTGCAATTCTGCAGTAAACTTAAAAAAACCCAAACCAAACCAACTTCAGATACCATCAGGTCAGGTTATCAACTTTTATATCATACACTCAACTAGAATAATATGCTACTGGAAAATAAAGTTGCTGTCAGTTTACGTAGGTTAGAAATGGCTGATTTTCTTCAATGCGGTTCCTTTTTTTGATGAGCTACTGGTAGAAAGCATCGTTGCATTTGTCTTACGCTTCTTTTGCTACGTTTTGAGCTTTTGAAAGAATGGTCTTTGTTCAGTTTACATTTCCATTCACAAAATGCCTGACTACACACCAACAGCTGTTACATTTCTCAAATAAACTGAACTTCAACTAATACGGTTTGTGTCAAGTATACAGAAGTTACGCACTTCTGATTCACAACAAGAGTATCTGGGTACCTTCGACAGACTACGATCTGCAGGGCGCTCAGCTACACTGTGTGTATTCATATGCTAAAAATATTAATTTTTCTAACAGAAATGAAGCCGAAATTCAAGATGAGAAAATGCAAAGTAAGAAGCATACAGCTAACACTCATAACATCTTTTCTACTTAATAGCTTAACGCGACGAACATGCATTTAAAAATTCTAAGATTTACATAACATAAAGTATGTGGTATTATTAGATTATGACATTTACCATTCATTAAAAACACAGACAGCTAACGGTCTTTCTGCCCTCAAGCGCGCGTTTATGAGAATATGCAAAGAATTACTTTTCATGCACACAGTAGAATAAGATTGGTTTTACTATCAACAGTTATATTGCAACTACTCGCAACTGTTAAGCTACTTATAATCACAACGGATTTCAATTTGAAAAAAGAAGCCACGAGCCACGAAGGAAATGAAGAGCTGCCAATAATTTTCATCACCTTTCTGAAGGTAATTCCTGCCCCCCCCCCCCCAAAAAAAAAAAGAAAGTAGGAAGTTTAGTTGCAGGAGAAGCTTTTTTAGTTTAAAAGGTGAATGAACTTAACTTATTTAGCACTAAGAGGCTACTCACCGTTCCAAACTGCTTCACGTTTTGGGCACATTTCTTGCATATGGTGTTAGTTTTGCTAAAGACAAAATCGCATAATGTTGAGTTCAGCGACACACAGCCACCCCGTGAAGCTCTCTCCCGTGCAGCTACCGGGAGCCACACACCCGCCGAGG